TTATTATACCAAATTTTATTTAAATACTTTAATATTTTAAAAAAGTAGATCAGAGCCAAAAAAATACAATTATGCAAACAAATTTGCCTACAAAAGTCTATAATCTAAGGGATATTATTGAATTTTACTGGATTCTTGTGACAGCTAAGTATGCTGTTGATCATAAGTTTGGGATTAGTTTGAAGTTTAAAACATCTAAGATTGATATGCTGATTTGTTTGTTCTTGGATTTGTTTAATATTTTCTATGTTTTGAGTATGATAAAGAGCTTGCTATTCAGTATTAGTATTAGTAATTCAGCTTGGTATAAGCTTATAAGAGTTAGGTATAAGAGGTATATTAAGGTGATATGTTAAGTTAAGATTGAGATGTATAGGTATAAGTAATGAGTTAGTTAAAGAGACTTTAACTTGTCTAATAATATTATTGAGTTTTTTAAAAATTAAATAAAGTAAAGTAGCTTTAGCTAAAAATAAATATTAAAAGTTGTAAATTATTATTTTTTTGTTAGAAATGCATTTAGTAGCAATATTAATAATACTAGTTTAGATTTTATTTCAGATAGTTTTGAGAAATTTAGAAGTTTGAGTAGAAAAAATTATTTTGTTTATAATAAGATTAAGAAAAACTTGGTTAGTAAAGATTTTCTATTGCTCTTTGTTCATTGCTTTGTAGTTAAAGGTTCTGCATTTAGTTTTAGTTGAATGTCTGTTTTTAACTATAAGAACATGAGAAAATGTTCAAGAGAATATAAGAATTTTGTGATCACTTTGGATGCAGTTTTTTGCATCATCTAAATAAAATGAATTAAGATTTTTGAGTAAAAAAAGGTAGGCCCAAATATTGTTAATAGTACTTTGATGACTATTGTTATGCCAAATATAAGAAGAGGTATTTGTATAATCTGCTAAATCATAAATATTATTATATTATAGAAATTGCAGTAGTTTGTATTTGATAGATGAGGAGGTAGAGTTGTTAGATAATATATTTAAATCACTTAGTATTATAAATAGAATATTTTAGTTAGTAGCTTTTTAAATTTAGTGAATAATGATATTTTGAATTTGAAGTCTTAATTATAAGTTTTTATATAGTAGATATATAGAGATAATTCAGAATTTGTAATTATGTTTGAAGAAGAGGTCTATAGCAATAGTATAGCCAGAAAGAATAAAAATATTATATATATAGGGTGTGAGATATTTATGAATCATGAGTGCAGTTCCTGCTTTAGAATTATTAAGTATATAACCAGTAATAAAAGTTGTGTTTTGAGTTGTAAAATTTGATGATAGCATTATTTTTTGCTATTTTAGTTTGTAATATTGATAATATTTAAGAAATGAGTAATATAGTAGTTCTTTTAGACTTGCTATTTGAGATTTTTATTGTATTCTCAAACATTATAAGTGCAGATTGTGAGATTTAGAAGTAAGATATTAGGGTTTTTGGGTTGTGTTAGATTACTAGCGATAGGAGTTAAAGATGCTAATATAAAGAAGACTGGTATTGATATGTTTGATTTTAGCTAAATATTCAGATAATATCAGATAGCTTGAATTGGTAGAATAAAGTAATTAAGTAATGGTTTAGCTTCTGATAAAAGATAAACATGAGCTTCACAATTATTATTTTTAATAAAAATAATTAATATATAACTATAAGCATTATCAGATAAATAGCCAAAGCTGTGAATATGTCATAAAAAAGAAATAATAGTTTGTAGATAAGAAAGCAGTAGTAGATAGTTGTAAAATAGAAATTTGTTATAGCAGATATTAAGTTGAATGTTGTTATAATATTGTTTAGCTATAGTAGTTTCATCATGACTTTCTAAAATAGTTCCTACTAGTTAAAAATAAGAGTAATTTATTTTATTTTTCTTTATAATTAAATTAGTATTTGGTATGCTATTGTTTATTGAAGAAAATTTAGAAGAAATAGACATAAATAGATAATAAATATAGCCTGATAGTTGTAAAAAAAAAATTCAGATGAAGATTGAGATTTGTATAATAAATGTATATAGCATTTACTATAATCAATTTTGATTGATATTGTAAGTACATAGTTGAAATTGTTTAATTGTATATAGTTGTAATAGTAAATGTGTTTTAAAAAAGAGCTAAGTATTTGGGAATGTGAAGGTAGAAATAGGTTTAATTCTGCTAATCACAGGTTATAGCATAAGTCTAGATCATATAGTATATTGTAAAATAAGTCTTGTAGTTCTTCCTTGATATAATTCAAGAAAGTAGAGAGTTTTTTTGTAGATTCACTTACTATATGCTTAGCTTGCACAGCTGCACAAGATACTATAGCCTGTCCTGTACATTGGGTCTGGCTGTCATTAACTTGGTTCTTCACATAAATGAACTTAACCACCTATTTAATTACATCATTCTTTTTTTTTTTTTTTTTAAATATTAAGGTAAGTACTTGTGATCCAGGATTTTATTGATAGTATATTTGGCTAATGGTTGCATTACAACAACAGGAGGCAACCATATAAAGAGTGTATAACTAGCTACTCATACAACTTTAGTCATTGTCTAATTTAAATAGTCTGTCTAAAGGTATTATACTAGCTGCCATACTTGGAACCCACTTGTAGGTTCTCTATTTAACCACTCTGTTTTCATATCTACTTACTTACCTCTGCCTACCAATGATCCTGGCCAATGCTGATAAAAATATACCATAACCACTAAGTCTTTAAAGCAGTTCACTCATATGAGAACCTTTAACCTTATATTAAACTAGTGGTTAGATCTGATCATCTGTTTATCTACTGAAACAATTATCTGATCAATCCAGTTATATGCAGCAATTACCTAATTAATCTGATCATTTTCGAATAATTTTCTAGATATCTGATACTATTATAATGATTAGCATCAAATCTTATTTCTTTCACAGTTTCTCTTTATATTACAGTATTATTAAAAACTTTAATTATTTATTAATCTGGTTGTTAAACATTCTTAAAAGATCACAAGTATTATTTTAATCAGTGCTAAATGCTAATAAGGTCAAAGATTACGATTTCAACTAGCTAATAAAAACTTTTAATTTAAGTATAGTTGTGGAAGTTCTCAAATATTAGAAAATAAAAATATTAAATATGGCATTAATCTTAGATATTTAAAAAACCTTTTATCTATTTATTTATTTTTTAGTAATTCTTGTCAAATATATAAAATAAAAGATTATTATTATTATAGCACGAATTAATCACATATATACATCTTACAAAAATTATGCATTTTATATCATAAAGTTTGTAATTTAATTAAGCATTAATAATTTATTGACTTTTAAACCAAGCTAATCTTTGGCAATAATATTTCAAAGATATAGAATTATAAGAAAATTAAATTAAATTTAATAAAGCAAAATATCAAAATAATAATTTTTATTAAAATTGATATTGAAATCATAACTAAAATATTGGTTATACTAGTCACAATATTTTGACTAGTAAATTCTATATTGATTAAAAATTCTTATTCCCTTAATGTTTTTTTTTGAAGTTCAACCTATAATTTTAAAATAAAATTAGTTTAATAATATTTAATTTATTACTATGCACTATGGAGCATTGTATTTATTTCAAATTAAGATGCCTTAAAAAGTTAAGTATATAAAAGTAGTAATGTATAATAAAAACAGATTTCTGATGAAGAATTAATTAAAATCTTTTTTTTGAATTATACTCTTCTTTCTCTTTTCTTATATTGTACTTTCTAACTATAATATCAAAAATAAAGGATATAAAGTTCATAGAATACATTGTGAATAATATGTAATTTAAACTGAAACTATCTAAAAAATTAGCAAAATTATATTTACTAGGTGTTTTTATAACAATAGAATAAACAAAAAGCAGTATTGATCAATAGTTTTCTGTTTGCTCAAAACAGAAATAAAAAACAGTTAAATCATATATCAATTTTGATTAGTAGCTTTTCAATTACATACCTTTGCTTATTAATTATCTATTTTATTAATTTATACAATTAATATTAACTTAGGGTGGTGTTCATTTTACAGTCTATTTCACTGACAACCAAATCGCCAACAAGTTTATTTTATTGACAGTTATTTTATCAACAGTTATTTCACTGACAGTCATTTTACTAACAAAATAATTCTGATTATTTTGTTAGAGTCAATTAAAATTAGAGTTAATATTAGTACAACTTAAAAAAAAAACTAGTTGGTGAAATGGGTTGCAGTAAAATAGATGTTAGTAAAATAAACTTGTTAGCAAATTAATTGTGAATTGATTATTAGATACTAAATACAATGCTCCATAGTATTTATTATTTTAAACAAAAATTAGTAAAAAAATTTTTAATAAATTATATTACTATTATTACTGTATTTTTTTAGTTTTTATAGATACTAGTTAGGAAATATATTATAAACTAACTTACTGTTTCTTTTCAGAAACAGAAGATGTTCAAATACATTTGAACTTAAACTTGTTCTATGTATAGTCATAATGTTACTAGCATCAGAGAATAACCTTTCACTAAGGGTAGAGATGGCTGATATTGCAAGATATTTTTTAGCCAATTTGGCTAAAAATGGAAAATTATTTTCATTATCTTTCTATTATTAAAGTAGATTGATATTTGGAGAAACTTCTGGATAAGCAAGATATTTTGTAACTTTATCAATATTGGTTGGTTGATGTTGATACATACATGCAAGCAAAGAATTATTTAAATTATCTTGAAGCTGCACAGAAGATGTATTAATATTTAAGTTATTAAATAATACATGCAAATTGTCAAACACTTTTTGTGCATTATATAGTAATATAAATGATAAAAATTTGCTTCACAGATCTAATAATGCTACTATTAAGCTAGTTTCTGTTAGAACTGAATAATAATAATGAAACTTTTAAATAGTGTAGCACAAACTCATAAAATAATATTATAACAATTTTGAGGAGCATTTATACGAATTTTACAACAAGGAATAGAAGGATTATTATCAATATCCTTATTAGCATCTTTATATCCAATATCTTTATCAAATACAGTACTTGGATCTGTAAAGTTTATCATTTTTATATAATCTTCACTTGATGCAAGATCTGACCTTATAAGTAAAATTGCATGATATATACAGCTAATTGTTGAGTAATTACTACTACTGAGAAACTCTGTAGCATTAGCGAATAGACATAAAACAGGAATTAATTGCTTAATAGTTATCCATTCTTCATTAGTTAGATTTATCTTTTTAAGATGATTACAGTTACACTTCAAATCATGATTATTTTCCAATTCCAAATAACTAATCATAGCACTTATCATATAATGCATTTTAAGTAATCTTATCTATACAAGATATGTTAAATTCCATCGAGTTGATATATTGTTAATAATTCTAGGACATTTATTTTCTAATAAAATCTTAAATAATTTTTTTTTAGTATTAAGGTGAGGCCTTGCTTATATCTTTATTAATAATTTAAAATAGTTACATATATATATGCTA